ACGGCTGAAAGGGCGAGCATGTTTGGTGAGACGGGGATTCGAACCCGTGACCCTCAGATTGCGAGTCGAGCGCTCTAACCATCTGTATCTGAACTATCATATCTTCATTGTTCTTTGCATTTTAAATGGAAATGAGCAAATTTACATCGTTTCTTTGATGATTAAGTTGTAGTAACTTAAAGAAAAAATAACCAAAATTTGGTTTAATAAACTATCTGTGTTAAGCAAAAGTGATATTTTCCTATAAAAGTAAACATTTCTGTATCAAGAAGGTTAAACAATTTAGGCTGTATATATACATATGCATCAAAATACTGAAGTAGAAAATTGTTGTGAAGAGTTATGGGAATCTAAGTGTTTATCTTGTGTTAATAAGCTAGTCATTCTAAATTAGAGATCATCGGATGTCTGTATTTTATAGCGGCTAGATTTAGATTGACTGGTTGGAGCGCTACACACTACAGTCTGAATATAAACCCATTGTGTTTATAAAATTTCTGTGTATAAATTGAAACTTGAACTAAAACTAAAAATTACAATAGTCAAAAAAGTGCAATGTGTTATTCTTAAAGGGTAATTTGATTTTCACTGTGTAACATATTCGTAGCAATTAATTTATCCAATCTAGGCAATAGCACAGCAGTATGCCCTAAATGCTGTACGAGCATTCTCCCCATTCCTTTAATAAGCTTTTATTTGCCTTTTCTTACAACAGTTTTACTTTTCAGTAGGGCCCGGCATGGCCAGGTGGTTAGGACGCTCGACTCGCAATCTGCGGGTCGCGGGTTCGAATTTTCATCACACCAAACATGCTCGCCCTTTCAGCCGTGGGGGTGTTATAATGTGACGGTCAATCCCACTATTAGTTGGCGATGGGTGGTGATGACTAGCTGCCTTCCCTCTAGTCTTACGCTGCTAAATTAGGGACGGCTAGCGCAGATAGTCATCGTATAGCTTTGCGCAAAATTCATAACAAAACATAACTTTTCAGTAGAGAACAGAAGTTTTAATTTCGCATGCAAGCCTTATATTGAAAACTTTATGCAAATTAGACGGTGGTAACGTCACCATGATAACACAAATGGTCTATGAAATATTAAATATATTTTCTATTTATTCTAAAACACAGTTTCAGTTGATCCAGTTTCCTACAGTAGTCTCTTTTTTTTTTCATGGTTAGGATGCTCGACTCGCAGCTGGTGAATCATGGGATCGACATCCGGTGTTAAATATACTCCTCTTTTCAGTCTTGGAGGGGGGGGGGGGGTTATAGTATAACGACTAATCCCACTATTCGTTGGTAAAGAATTGGCGGAGGGTGTTGCTGGTCTGTCGTCTCTCCTGAGGTCAGTATTTAAAATGAGGGACGATGGCAGATACTTTGCCATAAAAAACAGACCTCTTTATTTAAGGAAATGCTAATATATTTTCTACCTTTTCTAAAGTTTCAGGGTTTAGTATCCTCTTTCTCACCCCGTACTTCTTCATAAACACTTCATTTAATTAAGTCAACCAAAGTTACCAGAGAGAGAGGAAATGCGTGCATTTTTTATTCTCTTTTGACAATTTAATGTTTATAGAATATAGTGATCTCTTCGCTACATCTTGTTAAGCAACATATTTTCTATAAAATCAGTTCTACTGTGCCTTAGAGGATTCTCTTCCTGTACATTTCTATGAATAACCCATGCACATAAAAATCCCTAATGCTCACGCAGCCTTGGCATTTTGCCCACCAAATTTTCGCAAACACTAAAACAACATAAACAAATAAACCTGAGCCCAGATAAGTTTAGTGGGATTTTCTCAGTTGCAATATCTAGCTTGCTTAGCTTGTTAAAGCTACAGTCGTTTATGTGTTTCTGTATATATTAACGTAATCAATGATATAAGTATAAATTTAATGTTTAATTTATTTGATGGCAACATCTGTAAGTTTACCTAGAAAGTTAGCGAAGATTTCTTCTTAAGCTCAAGGTGAGTGCCAGGAGTTTTAAATGACGTACTATTATCAGCTGGCTGTTGATTGCAAACTAAAGGTATCCGATTTGTAACTGCTCACGGTTTAAAATGTAACCCTTTAAGTGTATAAATTTTGACTGAGATGCTCATTGAATTCAGTAGAATAGATATTAGAATCTTGCAAAACTTAGGTTTTTCACTTTTGCACTTTCGTACAATTCTAAATACACTCTTATTTTTATTTCGTTTAATGTAAACCGTATCCTTTATTAATTCTATAATATCAAACCTACCTTCTAGACAAGCATGATATAATTATGCTCCTTTCTATTTACATGGAATTTAAAAAAGTCGTCTTTTAATTCTGTGAAATTAAACTTTACGTTAACTTATTTGTGAAGAAATGATATCATACCACATTTGAATTGTAACCTCGATACATTGTTTCAATAAATTTTAAAACATAATGCCTTAACTCATTTTGTTTGTGTAAGATTTTATTTATACCGTGTGTTTTTTCTATAAAAATATATATATTTCAGATTCTAATTTTGTACAATTTAAAGCAAATTGCATTCCACTTTGTAGAATAAAATATACAGTTCTATATTATTCTTAAATTAAAATGTACAGCAATCCACATCTGTAAAGTTCAAAGTAATCTACACCGTAATTCCACTTCTGTAAACTTGAAGGTAATCTACATTGTAATCCTGCTTCTGTAAACTTGAAGGTAATCTACACTGTAATTCTACTTCTGTAGAGTTGAAGTCACATTGTACTAGGTCATCAAGAAATTAATGTCGCGTTTTGGAACACTTTCATTAAAGACTCCTCAAAAAACGTACATCACGTATAATAGTTAAACGAACCGCCTAAACGTAACGTTAGTATAGTATATATAATATGTAAAGTTTAGTATACTCTAATCCCTTATAGTGATGGCACACGACGAGACACACATTCGACATCTAATGCTGTTTGAATAAAAGAAGAGAAACAACGCCTTTGTAGCCACAAAGAATATTAAAGATGTTTATGGAAATGTTTTGAACTTTCGTAAGTGTCAACGATTGTTCAGAAAACTTCGTTTAGATGACTTTAGCC